ACATGCCATTTGAATTCCCTGTGAGTTATGCCCTTTTTGCTGTCATGAGTCTCACCGCTGAGTCTAGGTCAGGGATCTGCAAGCAGGTGTCATTGAAGCGCTTGATGTAGCTTATGATGGACTCCCCTTCTCTTTGAACCACATTAAGGAGGCTCTCTTGGGACCTCGGGCACTTCTTGCTGGTGATGAAGTGTGAGGTGAATAACTCCACGAACTACGCCCAACTATTGATTGATCCTGGCGCGAGGTTCCGATACCATGTGCGAGCTACTCCTTTGAATGTGGTGGAGAAAGCTACACACATGCAGGACTCGTCAGCCCCAGCTAGGTGCATYTGGGACTGGAAGAAGTCCACGTGGTCATTAGGATCAAAAGGATCCGTCATACTTATCGCGGGGAGGCATCTTGAATTCCTTGGGCATTGGAGTCGCCAAGAGCTCGAGAGACAAAGGGGACGACCCGGAGAGTAGAGGGGTGGTCTTTGAAGCTACCAAGCTCGCCTCTTCTTTACCTTTAATCTGTTCCTACTGGTTTGGCCTCGCGAGCTGGTTGTTCTGAGCTGAAGTTTGGTGTGCCTTGCGACGCCTTCGTTGCTGCTTCTTCATCGGCTCTGCATTGGTGCTACTACCTCTAAATGGTCTGGTACTGCTCTATTGTGAGGTATCTCTTGGTTCCTTGCGTTTTGAGGCTGACTGTCGCGGATAGAAGGGCCTTGCCTTGAGTTCGCGACCAGAATCCCAAACCGGTTACCTACGAGCGATCCACCCTCTTGATGCGAACGCCGAGGAAGAGTAGCTCTATTGGGTTGAGTGTCCCCGGACCTGTTTCCGATGTTGCTTGTGAAGCAGGCGGGGTGATCTGTCTATCTCTCCTCCCACGAGGTGAGACTTGGCTCCTAAGAGGAAGTGGGACCTGGGAAGTCTCCTYGCCTCGGTGGGGAGATCGAGTGATGTTTTGCACGCGATGTCGGTTCTGCTGAGTTGCTAGGTGCCGAGGTGGAACCGGCTGCTGGCTTTGCAGCAGTGGAGGGAACTACTGCTGGTAGTACTGGTAAAACACATGTTGCTGGTATTACTGGAGCTGTTGGACCTGTTGCATTTGGACCTGAATGGCCCGCACACAATGTACTAGGTCATCGAATTGGGATTTCCCGACTCCGGGGGGAACCACAGACAGTTTAGTGAAGATTGCGCCCACCACTGGAGGGAGCGGGGCGTTCACCTGTGTAGCATTTTCTTACGCGGTCAGTGTTGGGACCCCAGTCACAGTAAGTGGTATGGTGAACTCACCAATGCATACTGATGGAAACTGAGGTTGCCCCCCAAAGACGTTCATTTCACTACACTGCCCGGCGTGACTGGAGGATGCCATTGATTTTAGATGAAAGTTGTTGATTGTGGAGAAGGCTTTTTTATTGTCTCCCCACAAATGGCGCCAATTGAAGTAGCACGATCTAGCTGCTCCCTACTAGAGGGTGATCTAGCTTCCAGTCAGACAGCTAGCTAAGCAAATCTGCAGAACAAGATCAGAGAACCAGGGTGGCTAGCCTGGCGAGGTCTTTCCGATGCTTAAGTTAGTAAGCTGTTGCGAGCTGAATAATTTTGAGAATGTAGAGAGCTAGAGAGCTAGAGAGCAGAGAAATCACGCGTACCTTGTGCCCTCGGGGTTGGAGCCTTTATATAGTTGATTCCTCACGGGTCTTGCGGATCGGTTTCGTGATCTCCGTTACAATGGGATCCGTTTCCACTTTAGTTGGGAGATAACGCTATCAACTGATAAAGCTTATCAATTCCTCCCGAACCGAGCAGGGAGGAGATAAGGCTTGCCGTTATGCGGCGTAATCCCACAGGGTTCAGAGTCTGTTGGAGAGATTTTCAAGGTCGTCACGTAGTGGTCTAGGTCGGTATCCCCGAGATGATACATTTTAGTTCCAAACTAGACTAAATGCCAAATTGCCTCGATGCTGAGGTGGCCCTGCTCCGAGGTGGGCCTTAAGCCGAGGTGACTGAATACGCAAGCTCAACTGCTGCGAACTGAACTTGTCAGGCTGAGTTGTCATCTCTTGGTCAGGTCGTGTCCACGTGTCCCCTTTTTATTAGGTCGGGCCAAATCATCCTTCATCACTAGCCATTTGTTCATCAATTACCATGTCTGAAATTCTAAAAGGGATAACCTATTCGGATGGAAATACATGGGTTGTGTAAGACATAGCCCATTAGGATGGGAAGTCATCTAGAATTCTAAAAAAAAAAGCTATTCAGATAGAAAATACAAGTACAGAAGTTGTGGAAGAGAAAATAACCTTCAAGGCAGTGGAAAAAACTCAAAACTCCTTTAATTCCTTCCTTTAGTCAGAGAATATCCCTAACCTTGAAGAACAAGGGCAAAATGGTATCAAAAAACTAAAGAAATGGCAATTTTGCCATTTTGTAAATTTTTAACTCGCACAAAGCATCACATGATCAAATAATTAAGTCGGGAACCAACTTGACACTTTTTGAAAGTTCAGATACTACAGTGACACATTTGAAAGTTTGAGTAATAACTTGACACTACCCCAAAGTTCACGGAACTAAAGTGGAATATATATAATAAAGTATAAATATGCCATGTCATAGCGTGAGCTTCCTCCCTTACCCTAACACAAGAGTCTTAGACCCTCTTCATTTTAGCCTTTCTTGCTCCCTCATGAAGCCACCTCATAGGTGTCCTCTCCCTCTCTTATTTCAACACTTCATCATGTCTGGCCCACCACTTAACATTTCACACCCTACCCAGGCTTCTCACTTGGCCACGTGGCAAGAGAGTTCTCAATGCAAGAAAAGTCTGATTTTGCAAACTACCGTAACCTATTAGGGAACCACTTCTTATGGATTTCATATCTTAGCAAAACAACTTCACTATTCCCGTTTCACTGTTCCCTTCATACGTTACCTCTTCGGCTCTTCCAACTCACATGCGACTCAGTGTTCCCTTCTTATTAATAGGTTTCACATACGATGCCCCTATCAAAATCGCTCCATTGCTTTCCTGAACTGATTCTCAAATGCGTCGGTTTTTGCAAGAAATATTGGATGCTAGTGTTGTTCCAGGAACCGACGATTCTTTCCCGCCATCCAAACCCACCGTCAATTGGTTCATATTTCGCACTTAAGGACAAAAAACAGGGGAGCATTTTGATTTCTGACCCCTTAGCCTTGAACACCATCGACCATTAACGTCCAAATGGATCGGCTTTGGGAGAATCATTGGTGGTTTCCATCGTTCTGGCAACCGGTCACTCATTTCTGTTGTCCAAACCCACATACATACATAGGCCCTGTTTCATATTGTGGTCGAGCAACCACTATACCGAGCGAATACTGTAGACGTTAATCGAGTGAAGAAGACAACTCGATTCGGGTATGGATCAGGTTTGTTAAATCCTACAAATGGACCGGCACATTAACAACGTTAATAATTGACCGACTCAACAGAAGGTTGAATAAGTAATTACAAATGGACCGACCAATTAATTACTGTTATAGTAATAATTAACTTAACACTGTTAATACTATTAATATTGCTAAATAATTAATACCGTATTAATTTAACATTGTTAATTAATTATTTAATAACGTTAATTAAATACAGTATTAATTAATTAAGTATAGTATTAATAAATATTGTTAATTACTGTTCATTAAATTAATAGTATTAAGTGTTTACTGTTAAATAATTACATTAATAAATCATTTACTACCATCAAGTAATTAATTAACACTGTTACTACTATTAATATTTATAGTTACTACTGTTAATTAAATTAATTAATAATGTTAAATATTGTTAAATATATATATATATATAATAAAAATAAAGTAATCCAGAGGTCTCAACCCAAGCCCAACCTGAATTTTGGTTAGGCTCGAGTTTTTTGGCCTACACCAAACTTGAAGTTCGAAAACTCAAACCCAATCAATGCAAAAGTTTTTGTTAAGTTGGGTCAGGCTCAGGTTAGGCCTATCTAGGGGTGGGGCCAGGAATTTTCTTTTTTATTTTTTTGGTGGGGATCAAGTTAAAAAAGAAAATGAGATAGAATTTAAAAGAGGTAGGGTTTAGAGGAAAATGGCATGACAAGATTTGGGTCTATCATAGATTTTTTAAAGAAAAAATAAACATGTTATTTTCTTTTTCTATTTTGGGAGTTTGGACAAACATTAGAGTGAACATTTACATTCTAGTTCAAGATTTTTTTTTTTACATTTTTTACCCTATTTTACCTTAATGACCATATAAGTAACAATATTTTTTTTTGTGTGCGTGTGTTGGGGGGAGGGAGGGTGAAAGATCCCCTACCAATATACTTCGCCACAAGTTCTTTTAACAAAGCCTATGCATCTCACGTGTACCCCACTAATGTATTCCTATTGTGACAAAGGAGGTTTAGGAGGTGTTTTAGTATTTAGGTGAAATCTCATAGGATATAATTTTAGTATTCAAGTATTTTGGTTTTTCAGTTTTTTCAATTTTTGATGAACAACCCTATTTTGTATATTTCTATAAATTGTTGATTAATATTATAACTTACAATTAATAATAGCATATCTAGCATTTATAAAAGTGAAACTATTACTTGACAAATTTAAAATTAAATGACTTATTTTTCCTTAATTTATAAAGTATAAATAATGAAAGTGAAAGTATTTGCTTTTGTAAATAAATAAAATACAATAGTTTCATATTGGATCATGTTTTAGATTAATTATATATTTTTATGATTAATAATCAATAATTTCAGATTAATTACCTTGTCACGAACCATTATCCATTATGCTATCTTTAGAGAAACGTTACACGATATACTTATACTTTAAACCTAGTTCCGTGCAAAGGGAGAACAGAGCAGCAAGCGCCCAGCAAACTCATTCAGTTCAAATTCAAATCCATATATATATGCTTTAGGGCTTAACAATTTTAGAAATACCAAACCTTCACATGAACCCAAAGTCAGGTCTAGGTTTAGATTTGAACTGTAAATTAAAGTTTGAATTACTCCTCCAAAGAAAGAACTTTGAAACAAGGCGGTCTTTCATTTACCGTTTGAAACCAACAAGCTGTAGCTATCTATCTAGAGTTGAACTTATGGAACCATCACCCCCTAAACAACACCTTATAAATTTACTGAAAGCCATCAGTTCAGATTTTGAGGTGTTTTTAGAAGGAAAACATTTCAAAGAAGAAAATCAAGGCCTCTCAACTCAAACAATGGGCAAGGAAATGTAAGGCTGCCTGTTAAATCAACATACCCAGGTTGTTCAAACTGAGAACTCTGGTGGGATCACAACCTGCAACAAAGATTAGGGGTTTTCATCTCCGGAAAGTTCAACAGTGATGTTGGCCTCAACACAATGGCCCTCCCCTGCCTCACTTCACTTGAATGCATCGGGTCAATCGAGCAAGACCACGTTACCTGCCTTTCCACGCCACACACCCTGTTAAAAACCTTTGGGAGAACCCACGAGGGTAGCATTCTGATTCCAACTTACGAAGTACACGGGCATCTCTCTCCTCCTGTACAACAAGGGCAAATACAGGAGGAAAATGATTATGCCAGGTCAAATATCTCAACTACCACTACCTACCATTATTGCTAGCCATTACGAACTGATCAACCCAAGTGAGCTAGAGCTCCACCTTATAGCAAGAATCTTCTCTATCTCTACTCTCTATCTACCAAACCATAAAAAGTATACCAGCAAACAAAGCACTGCAAGCATGAGATTCTAGCACCATCAAATTCCTAGTCAACTACCTGAGATTAATGCTAATGCTACATTATAAACGAAATACTAGATGCTAAGTATCATCCATTGCCACAAAAGTAACAAGTGTAGTATATGATATACTCTAGTTGTACCACTAGAGAGAATAAAAAAGCTCCATATCAGCTACCAGAAACAGCACTAAGCACACTGAATATAACACTACAACTTGAAAGAAAATGCTATGAGGTATCTACTACTCCTCAGAATTACTAATTATATGCTAGCAAAATATAGACTACTGCAAGCTACTGGGAATCGAGCAATCCAACCAGTCCCAAAATCTGCCGTCATCCTGTAAGAGCCATCCCTCCTTGTGTGAAATGCGAAAGTGACGACTGCATTGCATGCATGGGAGGGTTCCCGTGAAACAAGAATGAATAAGTTGGAATATCTGGATTACTGCTGTTGTGCCTGCCTGGATTGAGCACCACCACCATACCCACCACCATATCCCACCTGTCCAGATGGAGGTCCATTTGCATGGGCAGTCCCATAACTCCCAGCTTGTGAAGCATCAGATCTCCAGACTGCATTTGGATACCCATTAGCATCACCATAGCCACTTCCCATGTAGCCACCACCTGCTCCCTGTTGCTCTCCAGCACCAGAATTGCTATTTGGGGCACTGCCAGCACGCCCTCCAACAGCACCATAGCTGCTTGGATTACCATAAGATCCATCACCCCCACCATAACCACCATACCCATAACCATGATTCCCATAATTGGCAGCCCCACTCGGGGACTGACCTGTTGGAGCAGAAACAGCATTACCAGCACCAGCAGCACCACTGGGAGAATTCCAATGAGCAGCAGACCCATAACCTGCATTTGCACCATAACCTGCAGAACCATATCCAGTAGGAGCTTGACTGTTCCATGGGCTTCTAGGGGCACCAGGACCACTTACATACCCAGCATTTGGAGCATTAGGGTTCGCATAGGCCCCAGCAGGCCCACTGTATCCAGCATTGGCACTACCATAGCCACCAACGCCATAGCCACCATAGCCAACACCATTACTAGCTGCACCATAACCATAACCAGGTGCACCATAGCCAGAAGAACCATAAGCTGGAAAACCACCTCCAGCAGTTTGAGGTGGCATGTACCTGGCAGCATCCACCCGACTATCATATGTATTTGCATTGCCACCTGAACCACCATATCCCTGATAACTCCCACCTCCCATTTGACGGCCACCACTTCCAGGGTTTGCTTCTTTTGGAAGAGCACGTTTGACCTCCACAAGTTTACCATTCAATTCATGGAAAGTCTTGTGTAGGACTCTATCAACTGCTTCTTCAGTATCAAAGGAGATGAATCCAAATCCACGAGGACGCTGGGTAGTCTGGTCATACATAACTACTACATCAGTTACATGACCATAGGTTTCAAAATACTGACGGAATCCTTCTTCTGTCAAAGTGGGAGGCAATCCTCCTACAAAAATCTTCTTGGTCTTAATATTTCCTGCACCTCCAAGGTTTCTGCCTGCATTAGGGTTTCCCGATCTAGAAGTCTGCTGTTCCTCTCTTGATAAAGCCCTTTTAGCTTCCACCTGAATTACCAAAGCAGGGGTTATACTGAAGAAGAAAAACATATAGACAGCAGAAAGCAGATGAACAAAAACCAAGACATATATCCCTGCTATAAAATGCCTCACAAAACTTCAAAAGAATAATTTTGAGGCATGAAAGAATTGTATACATACAAGTCTAATATTTATACCAGTTCACATACGCCATACATGTCAAAGACCTTTTAAAGAAAAATGCTGCAAATATCAGGAAAATAACCAATAGGGCAAGTTTTCCATGCTTCAAATATAACCAATCACAGAGCAAGTAATTTTATGATAATAAGATATAGAAGAACTAAAAAATCCGGAGAAGAAAGACCTATTTAAGAGAACAATAACATTATCCCAACATCAAAAGGAAGTTCTTGTTATTTAAGAAGCGTACAATACAAAAAACAGAAAGCATGTAGATTAATTTTGAAGGGCATCATAAACTGTTACCACCAGTAATAAGCATTATCAATGAACAAGACTGAAATGAATCTAAATGATGACAGAAAGACAAATCGACATATATATGATGGAAACATCCAATCATGCAAACTTGGGCAAATTACAAAATAAACAAATAAATACAATGATCAAGGTAAGAAGATAATGAATCAATACTTAGCCCCAAACAAATAAAAGCAGGAATATAAACGAAAACCCTAATATCTAAAATGTTATGAACATGAAGGCAAATTATGCTGACAATAAAAGGGGAGAAACGAAAATTTACAATTAACCCTAAGCATCCATTTCCATAACAACCCACAAAGAAAAAGGAAAAAAAAAAGGAGGAAATCAAAATGCAAAGAACTAAAAACGTCATAAAAAACAATTTAATGTCAATAATAAAGGAAAACTGACGAAAAAAACATCGAAAGATGAAACAAAATACTAAAAACCCAGAGTCCAAAACAAATGAGAACAATTGCAAAGATTACATAGGTCCATCAGTTCCCATCAAACAAAACATAGCCATAAAAAAATCTAAGTTCCCATCAAACGAAACATAGCCATAAAAAAGTCTAAGTACCCATCAACAAAGCATATGTAAAAACAGAAAAATAAATAAACGGAACAACCGAACAAGCAACCCCATCTAAAGCATCGATCTGGTCTTACCGTTCTTCCGTCGATGGTGTGCTTATCCTGAAGAACCCTATCGAGAATGGAAGGATCTGCAAACACGACAAACCCAAAACCTCTCGGCCTTCCAGTGACCTTGTCACGCATGATCACAGTCTGCACAACCTCGCCATAGTTACCAAAATATTCCTTAAGCTTCTCTTCAGATGTATCCCATGATATCCCGCCAACGAACAGCTTCCCTTGATCCGAATCCATCCTACTCTGACTCTGCTTCTCTCCTACTCTATTTCTCTTCTCTACTGATTTTCTCTCTCTCTTTCTCTCCCTCTGTCTGTCTGTTCTCTCTCTCTATCTAGGAGAGAAGAAATCGGGGAGGGAAGGGGTTTGTGCCTAAGACGGCGCCTTTGGCGCAAAGGTGGAATATCTACTCCCTCTTCCGCTGTGGAGAGGGAATAAAGAAAAGCTCACCAGGATATATGCTCCAACGGATAGGATGGTTTGGATTGGATGGTTGAGATTTATTTAAGGTGGCTGATTGAATTGATGTTCCTGATTTAATCATCTAGGGTTTGATTCTGTAGCGCTGTGGGTCAAGTTCGTCGTTTATGGTATTGACTCTTGATTTGAATGACCGTGTCCCTTGAGCTAAGCCTGTTAACGTCTCTAGTCCATCTATACGTACTTCTTTTGTTTCTTTAGTTAGAAGGACCAGAGCAGCATGCAACAATACTTTGAACTTGCCACGTGTCATATAGTAAGAGAATCAACTGCATACTTGGGTGGAGCCATGGTACAAATTTAACGCTCCTGATTTAATATGGAGTTTTGATTTGAAATTGTGTTGGGTCTCTTTGTCAAATCCACGTTAGTATTAGAGGAGGAATCAGCATTGAAATTTTTGTTTGATTGGCCGATTTTTGTAATTTTTAGGAAATCGTCAAAAATCGATTCTTGAAATCAGCCATTTTTAGGGATCACCTTTTTTGGTGATTTCCCCATTTCTAACTAATTCCGATCTTTTAGGATGATACGGCATCCAACATGGCATTGAATAATAACTCTAATATAAAAATAATCAGCCCTTCAGAATCATTAACAAACTAACTCAAAGTCGATTTTCAAAATTCAGCTTATATGGCAAAAATGATACTAAATAATAAAATTTATCAAGTCACCTCGTATTCCTTGCAACTAGACTTCTTCATGGGCCAAGTAGCCTCACGGCCCAGCCCGTTCTAAGTTAAGTTTGGACATGAATTTAGGCATGTGGGCTCAAGCTTGGGCCCAAAACATCAAACTTGACTTTTTCAGGCCAAGTTCAGGCTTGAGTGAGATATTTTATTATTTTAGGCTTTGAGGTCTTTTAATATAAATAAAATATTATTTTATATGAGATCCAGACTCGGGCTCAAGATGTAGGTCCGATGGTCAAGTCGTTTTAGGCTCAAGCCTAAATGTGTTCTATTAAAAGACAAAGCCCAACCCATGAACAAGTCTATTTGCAACCCATTTTATCATTGTTTTTCTTTCATATGGGAAACAAATGAATTCCTAGAAAATGATGGTCCATGGAAAATGATTCATGTATATGTTTTTCATTTTTTTTCTTAACTTGGAAAATTGAAGTGAATAGTTAAAAAATGAGTGTTCAAGGATATGAACTAAAAAAACCAATGTTTATGGACTACCATTGACTAGGACGGTCGGACCATTCGGGCTGGGAGTCCAAGCAATTGGTTTCGTTTTACCCCAAACCTGGTCCCGGACCAAAAACCGTTGAATTGGTCAACAACCCGTTGACCCGAGCAGTCGAACTGTCGACTCGTTCAACGATTTTGGTCATTTTTTATTTTAATTATTTTTTTTATTTTTTAAAATTTTTGTCAAAATGGGCCATTTGTCAAAACCGAACGGTCAAAACCATCGACCTAAAAATTGGTGGCCAGAACGGATCTGGTTCTGGGTTGGTTTTAAAAAACATTGAAAAAAAAAACTAGCATTGCAACTTGGGCAGGCTTGGATAAGTAAAATAATAGGAAATTAGATGTGGGTTTTGAACCCAACCTGCCCTACCTTTGAATGCGGGGAAAGTAGGGTTGGGGAGGGTATTGCATTTTCATGTGTAGGGAGGGTTTAGATTCTCAAAATCTAACTTGCCACAAGTTTTAGGGTGGGTATGAGTTGGGATGTTTAAGGAGGCGGGTAAGGTCTAGAATTTACAAAACCCTCCCCTAACCTATCCCATTGCCATCCCTACGTGTGCTAGTTGAGTTTGGCAATGATTGAGTTGAGATCTCTCTAGGTTCTACTTCTCTTGGTCAAAGTGACCTTTGTGCTCTCAAGAACGTCACTTAGAGATGGCTAGTTTCAATTTTCAAGAAATATCATGATGATTTTTGTCATTTCATATTTATAATCTAACAACTCTAGAAAGAGAACTTGAGATCTCTCTAAGTTATGATCTTCTCTTGGCCAAAGTGGCCTTTGTGTTCTCAAGAATGTCACTTGCCTGTGAAGATTTGAATATGGAGTATCTCGGTAAGAAGATTAATATGGTTCGAGTTTAAAACTTAAAGATAGTTAGTTTCAATCAAGGTTCAAAGTATTGGAAATGCCAAGTGTATCGGAAAGGCAATTTTAAGAGGCGTATCCGAATACGCCTTGGATATGCATGCGTATCGGAGAAAAATTAGGATACACTTGGAAACACTATAAATAATTTAATAAATCATAAAAATGCATTAATAACACTAAATATAAGACATCATAAGGTGTATATACATTAAATTAATATATATATTTAATGGTTTTATGAAGAAATATATTGTAGTTAATTATAAATTCATTAAAAATCCCATACTTAACTATAATTTATAAATCATAATTCTTAATTTTTAATGTTTTATGGAATGAGAAAACCCAAAAAATATGCATTGGCATAACTTTTAAGTGAAAATATAATTAATAATTATTTATTATTTAAATAATTTTTATTTATTATTGATTTCCTAAAATTATAAAAAATAAATAAACATTATATAATATATTCAAAAAATAGTTATTAAAGAAGAATTTTTAATTGCTTTATGGATATGATAGATGATCCATAGAATTATAATATATTCAATCATTGTGATCAAATGATAAAATAATTATTTATTTATTTTTTAATTCTAAAATTATAAAAATAAAAAAAATTATTAAAGAAGAAATTTCAATTGGTCTGTAGATATGATAAATCATCCATATAATTATAATATATTCAATTGTTGTGATCAAATGATTAAATATAATTAATTATTGTTTATTTTTGAATTCTAAAAATATAAAAAAATCAAAAAAAAATATTAAAGAAGAAATTTTAATTGCTCTATGGATATGATAGATAAATCCATAGATCTAAAACATATTCAGTTTTTTGCCATATCTTTTTCGTCGATACCCTACCGATACGCCCTCAATATGCCTTGATACACCCCCGATATGGTCTGATATACATGAAAAAAGACAAGACGCCCGATTTCCATATGTATCCCATAATTGTTTTTCAAAGACAAGATACGATACACCCTGTATCGGTTGTATCGATCAAAATTTTAAACTATGGTTTCAATTTTCAAGAAATATCATGATTATTTTAGTCATTTCATATTTATAATCTGACAAATCTAGAAAGAGGACACGATAGGACTTTGACTCAAAAGTATGAGCCCTCTCAATGAGGTTTGCTACATAGGTCATGCTTGTATGGTTTTAGATTTAGGTGCATTTTATACATATAAATGACTTTTACTCGAAGAGTAAACAATGGAGTGACCTCAAGTGCAATTGGGCATTTTATATAAATGCCTAGACTACTCTACATAGTCTCAACTTTTTCATGTCTCAGTTTCATAGGTAGTCAACTATACCACAAAGTTTACCATTTTCATGCCTTGACTGTAATAGGTAGTCAACTATACATTTTTGGATAGTCAACTGCAACACAATTTGGCATTTCATGCCTTGGTTGTCACAAGTAGCCGACTATACTATAGAGTAGGGATGACAATTTTCCCCATCCCTACTGGGTACCCAGTCTCCCCAACCCGATCAGATTGGGTATATGGATTGCTTTGGTGGAGAGTGAAATCCCCACCCCAACATATTATATATATCATTAATTAATTATATTATAATATATAAAATATCATTTAATTGTATAATATATTTATGATTATTATTGACTTTACTAAAATACCTAACACGGTTTTATATTTATTGTTTTATGTTTTTGTAATAATATGAGGACTTTAAGGGTAAATGGGTAATAAAGAGTAGTCTTTTTCATTCCCCATTGTAATAGTAGAGACATCCCATCAATCAATGTTCATTGAGAATTGGGACACTCATATGCTTAAGGACCCTAACAATGACCTAACTTAATAGTCTTTTCATTTTTTTTTCTGCCAATGCCCTTACTAAAAGAAAGTCTTTACTGCCGTTGTTGTTCATTTGATTTCTCCATCACCCCATCTCAAAAATAAGAATCTCAATGGCTTTTTCAGCAAACAAATTAACAAAGACCACCGATTCCAAAATGAAATATAAAACTATCGAAAAAACTTGTAAAAGACTACAAAGCAAGCCATTCTATTTCACAATCTCTATAGTGTTCAATTCATTTCACCTTCTTCTTCTTCTTCTTCTTCTCTATGTTTATTATATTTTTATTTTAGAGGTTTGAGTCCCTAATGGGGAATCCAACTCCATTGAGGATCGGGGATGGAGATTGGTTTTTCTTCTTGGTGGTGATTAGGGGCAAGGATGGGGAATTACTCAAAACTTGGGAACGGGGATGGGGAGTATAGTCTCCACCCCAAACCCGTCCCGTTGTCATTCCTATTGGAGAGCCTAGGCAATTTAGGCCTTTGCTATTAAGGTTAGTCAATTATATAACTTTGGCTAGTCAACTAATGATGACCAAACTATGGGTGCAACTTTTGTGGGTTAGGATTGAGATTATGTCAAAATTTCAATGGGCTCAACCCGAAGCCTGAGCCCAAAATAGTGTAAACTGTTAACTCAGGCCAACCCGACTTGCACCCCTAAACCTAACACTTAGAAACCTTGGAAATATTCATCCGAAGGTTTGGGGATTCTCCCGTTGGTAATATTGATTTTCAAGATTCTAATACTTGTGTTTAAGAAATCCAAGGTACCAAACCTATTCTATCCATTGGTTTCTAAGGTGGGCTTAACAGAGTTTGGTCTTGTTGAGCATCATGAGAAGTGCATCTCAAGCAACTAATTACATCAAGAACTTAAAAATGTGACTCTTAAACAAAGGCTTCATGTAATCTTTCTCCTTGTTSATTTGTTGTGGCATAGATCCTTTTGAGCAACTCCAAATCCTTTGAAAGTTTTTGTAGCCTTTCCATTCATGAATTTCTTTAGAATATC